AGCCGGAACAAGAACTGGCTCCTACGTGGGATTCCAGGGGATGCAAGGATTTAGCCACAGGCTATCCCGCTGGGCCCAACTATGCAGAATTCAAACCAACTCACCTCAGCTCTTCCAGCCTTGGCTTCCATTACTTAATAGGCAGGAGGTTGCTTCCTCTAGGACAGCACTAGTCTGAGATACTAAAGAATCCTGGCCTTAAAGGTGAGAGGCATAGAGAGGTTAAATGTCCCATACATTGTCACAGAAAGAACTGGCAGAACCAGGTGTGAGGCACACTCTACTCCATGACCTTTTATGCTGCTTTTTGTGTAAAGTTTGGCTCAAACCCAGAAAATTTTATGAGCAGACTTTTAGAGGCTGGCATGGCAGCACAGAGGGTGACATTGCTCCTTGTGATATTGGGATTCCATATCAGAGCCTGGGTCTGAGTACTGGCAGCTCCGTTTCCAACTCAGCCCCCTGCTAATACACCTTGGAGGGCAGGGAACCCCAGTGCTTAGGCCCCTGCCACTAGCAGGAGACACCCAGATGGCTCAGACTGGCTGTCACAACTGCTACAACCATTTAAAGAAGAAACCAGTGAAGAGGAGATATCTCTTTCTCTGTCTACGCTTCTCTCTGTCACTCTGCCTTTCAAATAAATATATAAATAATCTTTTTAAGTAAAAATAAATAAATAATTAAATAAAAAAGAAGAAGAAGAAAGATTCCTGGATCACATTTAGGAAAACTGACATATCAGATATAAGCTGAGACTTAACCTTTTGATCAAAACATCCTTCAAGTAGCTCCCCATCAAAACCAGCCAGTTCTCAGATTCTGGCAGTTCCTCCCTGGCAGGAAGCTGTTGGATTCTAGACTTGTTATGGCACCCAGAACAACAGGGTCTGTCAGCATCCCCATCGGCCATTTCTGCATTGCCTAATCCTTACCAGCCTGTCCATAGGCCAGCATGAGGCCCATAGGCCCCAGGGCTCCAGACTACCGGCTCCCAACAATTCCAGTTCTGGCCAGTGCAGCCATTTGAAGAGTGAATAAACAGGTGAAGATCTCTCTCTCTTCCCCTGCCCCTCCATAACTCTGCCTATCAAATAAAAAATAAGCAATAAATTAGAAAGTACAAACATATTTTTGGAGGGGGTGTTAACCTGAAGTTAAAATACCAGCTAAGCTACCAGAGTCCAACATCAGAGTGCCCAGGTTCAACACCTGACTCTGGCTCCTGACAACTCCAGACTCTGGGAACAAGTGACAAGTGGCAATGGCTCAAGTAATTGTGTTCCTGCCACCCATGCAGGAGACCTGGATTGAGCTCCTGTCCAGTTTCAGTTCAGTTTTCAATGGGGGAATCTGGGGAGTGAACCAATGAATGGGAGGCCTCTGCCAATCTCAAAATACTTTAAGTTCGAAAAAATATATAGTTCCATCCAATTTGTCTATATAATCAAGCACACAGAGAACTACTTTTTCATAAAAGGAGAATCTTACTAAAAAGCATTTAACTGGACTTTCCCAAGAAATCTTACTTGATGAATACGTTGACCCTTTCCCCCCTCAATATTGTCCTTACTTACATGGTCTCCTACTAGTCTATTTCTGCTTTCGTGCAGAATCCCAAGATTTCCTTTCTCTCCCTGCCCATTCTCTCTTTTTCTCTACTCTCAGGACTCAAGGTGACCCAGCAATTCCTGGAAGATGGCCCCAGGCCACCTGACTCTCTAGAGGCATCAATGAATACAAGGCAGCCAGTGCTTAGAACACTTCCTGGACTCAGCTCTGGTCCCTGCACTGCCAGAGTTCTACTTCAGGGAGCTTTTCCAGAAGGGGTAGGTAAGCAAGGAGAAGGCAAAGGAGGAAGGGCTCAGAACTCAATCCAAGGTCAGTTTGAACATAGGTCAATAGAAAGAGAGTACAAGCACCAATTTTTAAAAGTGCTCTGACCTATATGGGAAGCCGTTCAATAAATCAACATAACAGCACATTTCCAAGACACAGCTGCCTGCCAACATCTCCAGGTCTGAAGGACATTTGAGACTTTTCCTTTATGGGTGGCACGAGTCAGAAATACCATCCAGATTCAACTAAAGTTCTGCTTAAGCAGCCGTGGGTTCTTAAACATCTCACCGCTTTTGGTTTCAATTCTTCACGTGCAAAGGGAGACAGTCGGATTTTAAAAGCTTGGTTCTCCCAAGCCAGAGAAAGATCAGGAAGAAACATCAGTGTCACAGCAGAAGTGACGGGGGTGTGCGGAGCCCTGCACTGGTGATCACAGTGTCCCCCACAAAGAAGAAAAATGAGGGTCAGCAAAAATCCAGACTTGCTCCAGAAGATCATCAACAAATATCTCCTCTCTTCTAGACGGTGCCCTGCGGTCATGCATAGATCCACCTCTTCCCAGAAGATAGCAGGGTGACGACTCAGAGGATGGCTATCCACACACCTTCTACCTGGGGATGACTCAACCTTAACTACCATGACTTAGTCACTTGGACGAGTGACTGTCTAATATTCTTTGAACCTGCAACACTCTGAATCTATACCAGAAAACCTTGCTGGAGCACTGCCTTTTAGAGTTCTCAAAGCTTTAGAACTGCTAGAATGTTTGGTGGATCCCAGACACAGGTTTATTCTGTTATGGAATCACAGCTGGAGTTGAAGATGCTATTAAATATTAACATACCATTGTGGAAAAATTAAACCACAAACATCTATGATGGGCTTTCTGTAACAGTGCATTTATCTAACATTCCCACCTATCTCAAATGGTGTACTCTTCCTGCTTTGCAGCGACTTGTTCAATGAGTTCGCTTTTTGTTTTAAACCTAATTAAGACTGATAATAGTTACGTTGCTCTGTAGTTAACTAAATGTGGCTGAAGAGTTTCAAATATCAATTATCCAATATGGACAACAACCCTTGGCTGTCCCCCAAGGCAGCCTCAGAATGACACCTCTATGGGACGGCACGCAGTAGGTACTTATCGATTTATCAACAGCTACTCTTTGGTCAACAGGAATCCTGGCTGGGCAGACCACATACCCTTTGCTTGTCATCTCTAAATATTTGGAACAACTCTATGAAGCTCAACCTCTCCATTGCAGGTACAGAAAGTAAAGCTCAAAATCAACAGCTGTTAATGACTGAGAGCTCAGGTCCCTCTCCCACGAAGCCCTAAAGCACTCCCACGGTGACTTCTATGGAGTTTAGGAGATTGGGCATGACAGGATCCATGTGTGTTGACTGTCCTGGGAGAGCCAGTGCTATTCATGAAGCTAGGATACTCCACACAAGGCGGGACAACCCTTGACTTAAGCCACAGGACCCCCTTAGAGACTGGCTACTGCTTCTGGGTTCCTGCCACGGCTCAGTCCCCTTAACGTGCCTCTCTCTCCAAGGAAGGCTCTGATCCACTTCTCTCCTGTCACCACCTAGAAAGAGCGTTTCCAGAAGGTGCGGGTCCCAGTCACAGGCTTCTTCTTACACTCAGGCAGATTGACACAGCTCTAACAGCAGAGACACTCCATGCTGCCAGAGTGTGCACAGGAAAGCTGCTAACCCATTCCCTCGGCCAGCCCACAGTCACTTCAGCACTGACAAATTCAAACTCTCCACGTGGATAGATGCACCGTCTAAGTGTTCAAGGACACCAAAAGTCATCCTCAACTGAATAAACAGAAATAACTTTTCAGTTCAGATCTATAACTCAACCGATTGCTATGAGAAAGCAGAAGATACACAACTGGCCAAGGCTGCAGGCCCACCTGCCTGGGACCTTGCCACCCACCCCCAACAGCTTCACTTCATCTAGCAGATGTTAGCAGAAAAATCCAACTGGAAGGTGTAGGAGCCAGCAACATTCAGAGGTCAGGAAGTTGTAAAGGCTTCCACCAACTCTCAATCCCGTCCACTCCTCTTACAAAATCACCCTCGCTGTGGTTGCACTTTGCTTTCTCCGCTCTGTTAGTCCTGCAAGGAGGCTCAACTACAGGCCTGAGTGGGAGGGGAAGCTTTTGTTGTTTTAATGCAGCCACACAGCTATAAAGGGGACAAGCTCCAAAACATCCTCTGCAAGGATCTATCGTGTGGGACACACACACACACACACACACACACACACGCACACGCCTAAGAAGGGAGAGAGCCACTCCCAACTTTCTCCTGGGAGCCGCCCTGTGTGGTGGTGGCGGGGTAGGTGGGGGTAGTGGTTGTCACTTTTCAACTCAAAATCCTTGCTCAGATCAGACATTTTGCTTTAATCCACCGGCTGGACCCGCCCAAGGCAGCGGGCCCGGGCTGGGCAACACTTAAAGAGCCTTGTTTTCTCAGCTGATCTAGTCCTGCGGAACAGGTGCCTGGTTAGTTCCATTCCCCACCCCCTACCCTACTCCCACCCCCAAAAACATAGAAGTATTTCACAAAGGAACTCTCACCTGAAAGTCAGACAGGACGCCAAGAAAGGTGGCTTCCCAACTTGTGCAGGGCGTGCCAGTCTGTCAGGGAACCCGGTGTTGCTCGGGATTTGGGGAAGGCCTGCACTTTCCTGTTACAAGGCTCCCAGCAACCCCAGAGCAGCGACGAAGCGACCCTGCACTCCACCCCCCCGTCTCTCTCTCTCTCTCTCTCTCTCACACACACACTCACACACACACACACGTGAAGCTCAGCAGAGCGTGCCACCTGCTGGGGTCCCAGCAAACCTTCTCTGAGCGAAGAACCGGCAGAAAGCACTTAGCTTTATTTTTTTCTTTAAAGTAAACTCTCCCGGCACCCAGGTGCGCAATGGGTGCTCCTCACCCGGCTTGGGCCGCGACCCGGGAGGCCCTGCTCCTCCCCGGGGTCGGCGGAGGTCGGGCCGGGCCGGGGGTAGGGCTGACCGGCGGGCTCCCAGAGCGCCGAACCGGCGGGAACAGGGTGCGCCCTCCCCAGTCCACGCGCGCGGGCGGCCGCCCCGAGGGTAGAGGGTGGGGGCTGGGGCTGGGAAGAGTCGGGGAACTCACAGCCGCTTGTCCTCGGGCTGCAGCTGCCAGTGCATGGCCAGCGAGAAGCCGAAGAGGCTCCCGGGGTCCCCAGATTTCCGGATCACATTGTCCTCGCTGGTGTCCAAGTTGAAGGCTGAGCCAAGCCGGGCCAGGAGCCCCGCCGACAGGTAGAACAGGCAAAGATGCCCCGCGGCCGCCATGGACGGGCGCACCGGGAGGGAAGCGGGGACCTGCGGCGGCCGCTCTGCGCTCCGGGCCGGGGTCGGGTCCAAGGCTTCCGCGCTGCTGCAGCGGCCACCTTCGCCTCCTCTCGCCGCTGTGTCCGGCCCCACCCCCGGGACGGGTCGCGCTCTCCGCCCGGCCGCTCCCCCTCGCGGGCAGCTCCGGATCGCTGAATGAGCCCGTTGTTCTCTGGAGACTCGCAGGCGTTTTTATCAAGCGGCTAGGACGGCCGGCCCCGCCTCTCCCCACCCTCGGCCCCTCCTCGCGCGCCAGCCTGCCGGCCCGCCACCACACCGCACCTTCCCGGCCGGGCCCTGGCCGCCGCGCCGCCCCACGCTGCCCGGCCCTAAGTTCTCTCCCGCCGTCCCTCACCTGCCCGGAAGCAGCGTGGGAGACGCGGAGGCGAGCTCGGGGCGGAGCAGCCCCCCGGGAGCAGAAACGCTGCGGCTTTGGCTGGCGTTCCGTACCGAGCAAGGCAGGCGGCTACCTACCTACCCCTAACGGAAGGTGCAGGTGACGTCCGGAGCCTCAGGGCTTGCAGCAGCCCGGTCTTGCAAATATGGGCCTCTGGGTACATACACGTTGCGTTCATTCACTCCGCAAGTGTTTGCAGAATGCTTAACGCGTGCGGGTAACTTGGAAACCAGAGCTGCAGAAAGCCCTGGCCCGGCACCATGAGAATAGCGCACACTTCGATGGAGTGCTGGCCAATTCCCAGTGCACCTTTTGTTTCCTCAAACCCCAACACTCCTCTGCAGATTGGCACGTGATAGTACCTAAGCTCAGCTGGCCCCTGGTCATCCGGCGAAGTCACAAATATGTGGTCTCGAGTATTCTGCAGCCAAGCACTGGCTTAGGCGGTATTGGGGGGTCTCCAGGCAATGTGGGGCGGGGAAGGGGTTTCTTCCAGGCCACGGGGGCCTCCCTGAGGTCTGTGTGAGTAGCAGACACTCTGGTTAAGGCCAGAAGGTGCAGCCTGTTTGGAGGTGTTGGGTCTGGGACAACTTTATCCTGCAGGACTTCTTGGCTAAGAAGAGAAACTTGCAGTTGGTGTGAACTAAGAGAAACAACTACATTTTTCTTTTCACTAAGCTCTTGCTAGTGTTTATCATTTCCTTCCATTATGAAAGCAAGCAGCAAACCACAGGGGCAGTAGGTTGCGCGTCTATTATTAGTGACCATTAGAAGCCATAAGGTTTTAGGGTGAGGGCTTTGTGCTGCAATTAAAACACCCACATCCCATCCGGAGTCCCACAGGGAGTGCCTTGCTTCAGGTGTTCAGGTCTCCACGGGGTTTCTGATTCCAGCTTCCTGTCCATGCACACCCTGGGCGATGCCTGATGGCTGGAGCAGCTGGGTCCCTACCACCCTTGGCGGAGACCTGGCTAGAGTTCCTGGCTCCTGGCTGTCTGAGGGCATTTGGGGAGCGACCCAATAGATGGGAGAATTCTCTGTCTACCTTTTTTCTGTTTGTCTTTTAAATACTTTTTGAAAATTAAATATAAAGCCTTAAATCACAACACAGTTGTTGCAAATATCTCAAATGACCAACCACATCCTGGCAGCAAGGAAACATATCTCACTAGAGCACAAATGTTTTTGGAATACTTTGCTAATTATATTTTGATATAGCAGGTTTCCTTTGTAATCTTCATGTATTTTACGCATCTAAAAACCTTGCTTTGGAGCTGGTGTTGTGGCACAGGTGGTAAAGCCACCTCCTGCAACACCTCCCCACCCCTGACATCCCACACAGGCACACAGGTTCATTTCCTGGCTGTTCCACTTTTGATCCAGCTCCCTGAAAATGGCCTGGGAAAAAGCAGCGGAAGTCAGCCCATGTGTTTGGACCCCTGTACTCACATAGGAGATCCAAATGAAGTTCCTGGCTCCTAGCTTCAGTCTGATGTAGCACTGGCCATAATGGCCATCTGGGGAATGAACCAGCAAATAGCAGATGATCTCTTTTTTTGTCTCTCTCTCTCTCTCCCCCTCCCCCCACCTCACCCCCATTTCTCTGTCACTCTTTTAAAATAAATAAGCAAATCTAGAAAAACAAAATAATTATTTCCTGAGTGGAGAGCTGTAGTTCTCAGCAGCCTGCCAGAGCAAGGCAGGAGAAGGTTAACAAAGACTGCCTGAAGGCTGCTGGATTGACTCAGAGCCTTTCTTGGAATCCAACTGCCCTGCATTGGAAGCAGAGAGGGTGCAGTTCCGAGGTAGGGCAGGGACTGTGGGTGCCTGAGTGAGTGTGTTTGTAGGGGGTGCTCTTCTTTACATCACAGAGTGTCTGCACCCATGGGTGCCACTCAGAAAAGCCTCCCCCAGCCTCCCAAAGTGGCAACAGCTGCCACAGTGGAGTCCCTCAGCCTCTTCAGGATGTGTGCCACTTGCTTGCCACTCAGAAATGCCTGTCAAAGGCAATCCAAAGTGGAAAGTGGTCGGTTGAAACTCAGCAGCAGATGAGCCTCATGATCGCACTGTTTTCTGACAGATGCGCTTAATAAATGATATGGTTGAGAAACTGTTGGCAATGTGATCTAGTTGCCCAGGGAAGTCAGCAGTGCTCCCTAGCTCTTCTCCCTCAGGAGGAACACACACTGTTGCAGAGCAACAGGGTTCCAGCCTGATCCTTAGAATGTAATGAGCCTCTCTGCAGGGTGGTGCCTACCCATCCTTGTAGCTGCCCTGGAGGCCTACACCCAGACCTGGCAAACAAGCCAATGCCCTGAGCTCTCCGCTGAAGCCGCCTCTGCCTTTGCCCACTGTCCTGGGACTCGTCAACTTCCTTGCAACCCAGCAGCAAACACCCTTAAACCCTGGCAATGTAGGAGCCCATGTTACACCTGCTGTTCGTTATTCCCAATCTCATATTTTGCTGCTAAGAGGAATTCCACCAAGTTCTACTGCCTCATTCCTATGATGCTCAAAACCAAATTTTGAGTAACATGAAATATCCTAGCTCAAGTGTAGCGTGACTGACTTGTATGATGCCTGGCAGGGGATTGGAGGTAAGGAAAACTGAAGGTGAGGGAACTCATATGGAGGACGTCGATCCTGTCAGAGACGAAAACGGTGTCAGCCACACTCTTTCTTCCTACCTATCTCCTGCCTGGGATGCCAAACATACTTGATATTGAGTCAAGCTCTCACTCTCCAACACACACAATCTCTTTGAACAGAGTGTCAGGTCTTCCAGATTGTAACAAGGTTCATGATTCGTTGTCATTTCCACAGGAAAATGGAGTTGGGGGTTTCACAAGAGGGAGGTTTAGAGGTCATTTAGGGTTCATGGAGGATGTTTTAGTCTTTGGGGCAAAGGAATGAAACAATCAAGGGTCCTAAAAATTAGAAAGGGAAAGCCTGCTGAGGGAGGCACATAGTTTTAATGGGGGAAAAATCTGAGACAAGAAAATACTTGTCTTGAGCCAATGAGAGAAAGATGGGCGATAAAGACATAGTAAACATTTAGGGCAAAGAGTGTCTGTGTGTAGGCGCATGTGTACAATGCCGATAAAAAGATAAGCACATTGCTGGGCCCGGCGCGGTGGCGCAAGTGGTTAAACGTCCTCGCCTTGCACGCCCAGGATCCCATATGGGCGCCGGTTCTAATCCCGGCAGCCCCGCTTCCCTTCCAGCTCCCTGCCTGTGGCCTGGGAAAGCAGCAGAGGACAGCCCAAAGCTTTGGGAACCTGCACCCGCGCGGGAGACCCGGAAGAGGCTCCTGGCTTCAGACCGGCATAGTATCGGCCCGTTGCGCTCACTTGGGGAGTGAATCATCGGACGGAAGATCTTCCTCTCTGTCTCTCCTCTCTGTATATCCGCCTTTCCAATGAAAAAATAATAAAAATAAATCTTTAAAAAAAAAAAAAAAGATAAGCACATTGCAAGAAGTCTCCAGTACAGTTAGGCAAGCATAGACAAACAAAAACCCCTATGTCTTGTGTTTAATAAAAGGGCTAATTAGAAAACAAACATAGGGTCCAGCACTGTGGCTAAATTCTCGTGTTACGTGTGGCAGGATTCCATATGGGTGCCAGTTCATGTCCCAGCTGCTCCACTTCCCATCCAGCTCCCTGCTGCAGCCCAGAAAAGCAGTACAAGATGGCCCAAAGCCTTGGGACCCTGCACACATGAGGGAGACCCGGAAGAAGCTTCTCACTCCTGGCTTCAGAGCAGCACAGCTCCAGCCGTTGCAGCCACTTGGGGAGTGAAACAGCAACAGCAACGAAAGATCTTCCTACCTCTCCTTCTCTATGTAAATCTGACTTTCCAAGAAAAATAAATAATTTATTTTTAAAAAAGAAGCTAAACACAAAGGAATATCTAAGAACACAGTAATAGCATAGCAGAAACTTGCAAGCTGGAGTTTCTAAATTTTAAGACCAGAGAGCTTTGCACAGAAACATTTGCTCACTTTTGAATTCTTTTGAGAGCTTTTGACTTCTTAGGTTTCACCAATATAATTTTCTAAAGAACATTATTTGTCCCATACTGTACCTTTGGTAAAGGAACTTTCAAGTAATTATCATATATTGGTTATCCACAGAGACATTGGAAAAATCCATGTTGTGTTGGACTTATTTTCCATTTTCTGGGACCTACTTAAGTCATTTTTGCATCAGGTTCACTGTTAACACTGGCCTTTACCATCACCAACAGCAGCAGAGAATCGTGTATTTGCGCCTTTATTTTGTTGTTGAAAAAATCTCTTATTCTCCCTCTGTGGCTTCATTCTACTATCACTTAGATTGTGTGTGTATATATGTTCATTTCTTTATTCCCTAGAGCCCTTTAATGAAAAGCCAAATATCGGCTGATCAGTATGTAGAATCCAACTTCTTTGCTGCAAATCCTGGCCACCTCCACATTAGCCACGGGACCATTTATTCTTTTTCCACCTCAGTTCCTGTTGGGGGCACTAACCATTTCCTGCCCTGTGATTGGCCCGTTGCCCTGTTTGGTGTGCCTTGGTTATCTTTAGGTTGATTGGTCAGGTTTGACAGATAAGCGGGGGGCTTGGCGGGAGAGGGGCTGGAGCGTAAAGGTCACAACGGAGTTAATGGACACAACGGAAGATCGGAATAAAGCGCCTTGGAGACTCTCTCAAGTGTCGGGTGATTTCTTCCGCGGGACGGGAGGACCC